CATGATTAAATTTATTTTGTAGGTCGTATCTATCTAATGTCTAAGGGAGGAGTATCTAGGTTCGAGCTAAATCCCTAGATTCCCACGAGTCATAACTTTTGCTCGAAGGTAATTATAGTAATGTAAAAACTTATTATTATTTATTATTTGTTATTATAAAAAAAAAAGATATTTTTGTTTACAGGTTTTGGAAAAAAGAAGAAAAATCAAAAGTGGTTATTAATCTAGGAACTGATGATGACGAAGCAGCTTCTTCATCAACAAAGAAGATGGATTTCGAGATGAGGGGAAAAAACTAATGTTCTTTTAGTGATGTTTTTTATATTATATCATTATGAACATATTCGTATTTCTTTCGTCTTTTAATACTTCATTATGAACTTTATATTAAGTCTATGCTTATTTTGTTTATCGAATCATATTTATGAAATCGAAAATATACGTTTATCGTTAGTATATTTGCCAAAAATTAAAATTTGCCAAAAATTAAAATAACCAATTACATAATTTCTATTATTAAGTAATTATTATAAATATTAAGAAAAATAATTAGAATATGTATTGTGATATTACCTTCTATTATCTCATCTTAAAAAAATCTAAAATAATTTAGTTACTGTATATTGGTTCACAAAATTTGTTAAATTTACTTATATTAATCTCTTTAAAAAAAAATGCCATAGGCTAGCTATTTAAAGACTTAGGTCTCTATTCGTATTTGATAATCCCACATCGCAATCAGTCGCTTATTGCTGTAAGATATGTTATGTTTCTGCGTAAAATTTTGAATTGATTTTTTGTTAGTTTGTTTTCATATTATTCAACTCGTTTTCATCTGTAGAACGAATCGTGATTGGTTGGTATCATCATGAACTACTTAACTTTCGACAAACTCACCACAAAACGCTCCTGTCGTCATACTATAGCACGTCTTATTAGAAAGTGGGAATCCATATACGGTGATAAAAAAAACGGTTTCTGGGGACACAATCTTCTTTTAGTGGATGCTCAGGTTAACATTATTAAAGTTATCATATTGCTATGTGTCGGTTTGTTTATCATAATATTAAAATAGATTTTTAATTATTGTATTACAAACAGGAAAATATAATTCAAGCTTCAGTTCATTCCTCTATTTTACGTGTTTATGGTGATCACTTGTTTGAAGACAGTCTCATTGAGATGTTTAATTTCAATGTACGTCATAATGATATGAGTTATAAGATTACTAATAATCAGTTTATGATTGTGCTAACTGAGCGAACAAGGATATCGCCTTTAGCATCTGGAGTACAAATAATACCTAGGGAGAAATTTATCTTTGTGGATTATGGGTATTTATCAAGGTCAGACAATTTGGTCTGTAGACTATATGGTACGTATTGTTTTAAAATTATGTACCCATTACTTCATCTGATAGTTATAGAAATCTAATTAATTAATATTCGAATTGTAGATTACATTGCTTATGTGAAGCATGTGAACAAGACGGATGGACGGATTGAGGGTCAAGTTGTTGTTAGGAGGCTTGTACTAACCCTTCTAATGGAACGGTATGTTTTTAGACAGATTGAGTATAAGATTTAGTTGATATTGAGATATTTAAAATACTAAACAGTCTATTAATTATTTTCGTGATTAAGATTTGTAAACGGTCCTGGAATAGAGATCAACATGGTGTTGTGGGGAGAACAAGCAGAAAATTTTGAAGAAAAGTTTAGAATTTACAATAATACTAATATTGTCTTGATCAGTACAAGTGTATTGGGCATTGTCAGAAATGGTTCTGTAACATTATCAGTTACTCCTGCGTCTAAGTTTTATTTAAACCAGGAATTTCCCTCTGTTGCTGCTCTCAGAACGAGGTATAAAACTTATTTACTTATTATATTATTAGCATTGTTTATCAATACATTATTTCTTATTTTATTAATAAATATTTTCAATAGGCTCCTTTATGATGGGATATGCTCAATGGATTGTGGTGAATCTGTTCAAGAATACTCTGCTGCAAGCCTCCAAAATCACGAGTTTTTATGTTTATCAATGTCTAAGATAAAATATTCATGGTTGGATTAAATTATATCTATGGTTTAATGTGTGTTTTTCCCAATTTTTATTATTAGCTAATATGTTATTCATATTAGTTGATTAAAACAATATCTTTTTGGGTATTTATCATTTAATATTAAAATAGAATTGGTTCACTCAGAATCCTCATCTCTAAATACGATTCGTACGAAATGTTTTTTTCTGATTTTCATTAACAAAAACATTTATAATAAAAATATTTGGTAATTATTATACATTAAAAAGTATGACCTAAAAAATGTATGTATTTATATTTTAAAAAAAACTATTGTGTATAATTGGAAGATTGTTAATATAACATAATTTAACTTTTGAATTCATGTTTTAGCGTGTCTATATGGAAATATCATAACATTTTAATAAAATATATATAGAAAATTTCCCACTAATTTAAATGGATATCGTTGAATATGTACGATCTATTCTTATTTTTGTTTAAGTACGATTTTCTTTAATTTAGATACTAAATGGATCTTGAATATGTAAATTTAATTCAAGTAGATATTTATGTAAAGTTTGGTATTATCTCTCTATTATTGAATTTTTTGGGTTTCGCTATTTAAGTAAATACATAATATACACATAACAAAATTAAAGTTTGAAAAAAAAAACACCAATGCATGCTACTGGGAATATTCAGACTACATCAGTGATTGATAGACCAATGCATGATTCATATAAGTCTTTGAATCAATAATTATTTTTTTGAAAAGTCGCAACTTTACATAAAAACATAAAAATGTAAACAGTTTGTTCTGAAAAGTTGCAAATATACATAATCCATTGACAAAATTCATTAAATCTACCTACTTACTTATTTTGTTCATTCCCTATATATAAATATTATCTTAACAAGAAGAATAGTTGTTCTTCAAATAAACATATCAACCCAAAGAAAAGAAAAAACAAACACAAAAAATTCCAAGTCCTTATCCTTCGTGATGGATTCATATGATGCAGTTCGTGATTTGCATGCATGGAGGACCGACTGGAACATTGGCGTCAAGGTCTTGAGGCGATGGTTTATTGTTCATCGAAACGGGAATCCAGGCTTAGCATTCGTTTTCGTTGATGAACATGTAAGCTCGTGATAACATATATGTTTTTATTGTACTTTAACATGTTATATAATGCGATTGTCATTATATTTGTTTATAATTCAGGGCTCTAGAATTTATTGTACTTGTGGTGCTACGTGTTATGAGTACTTCGAGAGGGTTTGCCCTGAAGGAGGATGGGTAAGACTGACCAATTTCGGCTTGATTCGGTCGGATTGGGAAATGAAGGAAAGAGTTACTAAACACAAATCCCAGATCACTCTCAACTCGGAGACCAAGGCTTCACGGATCAGGCCATTGTCTGAAGATCCCTTCATGAATTTCGTTGATTTTGATGAGATTTATAATCGTCCCTATAATCACTTGTACCCAGTCGGTATGATTTTGATTTACACTCTTTAAAAACCGAAACCCGATAAATGTTTTACAATAGTTTAGTTGTTTTAAATTTATTTTATTTTATCCATGCATGGCTAACAAAGTACTTTATTTTTTGCAGATCTTATTGGAGTGTTGGTAAATGTTGGTGATCTCTTAACATCTGAGTCCTCAAATGGAAATACTGAAAAAACGCTGAAGTTCACTATCAAGAATCTTGAGTAAGAATATTTTAAGTTTGACTCATATAAATTATGATAAATAATGAGATAAACAATTATTAATTTTAATTTTGAAAAAGGGATCGGACTGTTAATTGCTTGGCTCATGGTGATTTTGTTGTTGATATCAAGAACCAGACTGTAGGCGTAGATGGTCCGGTTGCGATTTGTGTATTGACGGATTGGGTCGTCAACAAATATCAAGGTATGTGATCTATAAATTTTAATGAGGTTTTATATCATGCAAATAACCTAATTAAACGTAGAAATATTTGTATTCTGATTTCTTCATTTGACTTTTATTTTAGATGAAATAACCATCCATGATCATGAGAATATTGGCTTCTCACGTTTCTTTGTTACTCCACCTATTGACGAGGTTCTCATCTACCGTAGGAAGTAAGTATAAGAAACTTTTGGTTACTTAAAATTTCGTTTATTTAACTAATATTATACTTATATATAAATATAATGGATAGGATTTGGGAAAGGATAAAGAAGAGAATGGAGGATGCAGGAAACCATGGAATGTGACTTGCATAAATGGCGGTTCTATTAGTTTATCGTTTTCGTATTTCTCTTATCATATGTTTTAAGACTTAATGGCGTGGTGTTATCGTTACTATGTTTACTTATGTTTTAACTTAAACTCGGTACTGCGTTTAAATAATTATGTTGTTTTTAATCTAAAAATTTTAATTGCTGTTATTTATATAATCTGCTCTAAAATATCTGATAAGTTAACTTTAGAAAGAAATAGTTAAACCATATATACACTACATTCGTATTCATAATAATTAATAGTTAAACCAGATATACATTAATTTGAAAGATTCATATATATCTCTATTATATTTTCTGTAACCTTAGAAGATTTTATCTTATAAATCTTACATACTTGTATCATCATAAAAAAATATGAATCTAAATAGATCTCATATTTTTAATATGAAGAAATAGTACATATGAAAATCTAGAAATTTAGTAGTTATTGGTAGTTATACAAAATAGAAAAGTAAACTTATGTGCCAAAAATATTGACTGGAATTCTATTTACCCAAAATTGTCACATATTTACATGCAAATAATAAAATTTTAAAATTTCAATATTTAGCCATTTCGGAAATAATTGTAAACTATACATTTTACTCATCTTTAAGGTTTAGCGTTTTGGAAAATTATTAGTAACTATTTAAAATTATTAAACTCACATGTACCAAGATTATTAGTTTAAAATCCTAAAGATTACATCCTTAAACACGCGTATAAAAGAGTTTTTCAATATTCTTATTAACAGAATAAATAAACACATTTTCTTAGCTTAGAATCTAGGCTTTGTTTAGTGTTTAGTTATTAAAAAAAATTTACATAATATCTCAGTGTTGGCTATGACATTGATCAAATTTGTGCGTAACACTAAGAAAGAAATCACCGGAAATCTTGATATCAACGTTGTTATTACATGGTTACAAACAAAGTTGAAAGAAAAAATACATACAGATAAATCAAAATATTATTGTATGAACGAATAATCATAAAATTATAAATAGTGCACATCACAGTGTTACTTTTCAGGCGGTATAATTATGTCAGTTGAACTTGCCAAAGATTATAAATAATTAGATTCCCCTGTCAAAGTTATTTCATGCAAAAATTATTACAGATTGATTTGCTTTATTCTGCATTTAAAAGTAATATTCTATCAGTTGATAGACCGTTGCATGTTACACTAGCAAATTGTAAAAACATACGAATATTCAAATATTATTACCCAAAAATTATATAACTATTCTAACGTTTATTTATTTAGAAATTTGTAATTATTCGATTTTGGACTAATGAACCGAAAACAATTAGGGGTTGTGGTTTCAAGTATGATTTACCAAGATCTTCTATTACGAAGATCCGAAATATTTAAAACTAATAAGGCTGTATCATCTGAATTTAAAGCTTGCAGGTTTTCGTTTTTTGTAATATACTATAATGTTTCAATATTTACTATTATAATTTATAGACATTGTTTCTTATTAGTTTTAGGGTTATTCTATTTATCTGGAACATTGTATTTAGACAAATGAGAATTGATGTCATATAGTGATACACTCTTTCTCTAAGTAATATGAACTCCAATGCATTAAACATTTTTCTCTCATTTGTTCACTTTACTTGAGGACAATCAAAGGACAGTTTGTCAAATCGTTTCTTAAATATTTTTTTAAGTTCACATTTGAATCAATTGTCATTTACTTTTGTTATTTTTAGCGAAACGTAGTTTAAGTATATAAAACCCGTCTTTAAAAGCATAAACGTCGTTTCAAAAGTATATTAAGCCTGAATTGTTGCATAGGTATTTAAAACCCATCTTTAAAAGCAAAACCGTTGTTTCTAAAGTATATTAAACCTGCGTTTTAAAACATAATAACCGTTTGTGGAGTCCGTCTTATTAAAAAAACGTTCATTTGTCTCATTTTTCATCTCCAAACCAAAAAAAAAAAATGAATGGCTCCATGTAATAGAGTTTCTGAACTTCAGAAGATAAACGGCGGGCAACGTATTTGTGTCCAAGTTGTTCAAAATTATTATGATTTCACTAACATTCATTACCCTCATCGGAAGTTAGTTCTTGCTGATGAATTTGTAAGTTTGTAAGATTTTTAAAATTTATCCCTGTTCATGTTTTGGGAATGTAATCGTTTATTGATTCATTTTTACTAAAACTGTGTAGGACAATCACATCCTCTGTACCATGCCATCTGAAATAATTAACAAATTCGAGGATGTATTGCTCGAAGGAGAGTGGTATTTTCTTGGTAATTTTGCAGTTACCGACAGATTACCCCATCCAAGCATATCATCAAACAACTGTCATATACGTTTGAACGAGGATACAATCACTGAGAAAACCGATCCGAAGTCTTCCAGAGAAATATACTCTTTCTGTGCATACATAGATATTTTGCTTGCGTCGATTCAAACTGACCGATATCTTGGTAAGTTTCCTATATGCATGTTATTATCTTGGTTTATCTCATTAACTTATAAATGAATTTTTAAAACTTAGTCGTTTAATCTTGCAGTTGATGTTCTCGGGATTGTCACTTTTGTTCAGAAACTTCAAAGTGGAGTTCATATGTCTAATACATCGGATACACCCACAGAACGTCCACTTATTCGTTTTGTACTCGAGATCTTGAGTAAGTACAACTTGTCCTCATAATATCTGATGTCAGACTTGGTTTTCTTTATATATTAAAATATGTTAATTATCTTATATGTTGGTGTAAATATATACAGTGGAAATTCCTTGAAATGTATTGCTTGGGATAACTTGGCAAGAAAATTTGAAGAACTATGGACAAATCGTGATAAGTCTTCAAGACACATTATTGTATTGCGATTTTTCTCTTTCAATATGTGGAGAGGTATGTAAATATTAACTATTAATATCTATCCAATACAGCAATTAATCAGAAGATTAACAAATTTATTGTAACCACATGCGTTTAATCAGAAGTTTAACTAATTTATTGTTTCCACATGCGTACTGAATATGTATATGTAATTGGATGAGTGGATTGTTGAATCGGAAAGATTCATATCTGATATTCTCGAGGATCCTCCTACTCCAGAAGTGGCAATAGCAAAAATGAGGTATGTAAGTTACATATTTGATGTTATATCCTGTATATGTATTCTATTGACATCTATTTTGTGATTTTATAATATTGTCATATTGTTCCAGGCTTGAAACTTCAGTTGATTTTACCCATTTGGATGATGAATATGAAGATTAGAATGCTGGGACAGCTGCAACGGAGAATGCATAATCACTGGAAGATTACCTTTCTGTATTTCTTATATTAAGTTCTGAATTTAAAGGAGTGATATCATCTTTTTTTTTATTATGTAATAAATACTAACTTTGCAGTATAATAATTATGGTGTTTTAAACTATATTCATTACTGTTAATTATTACAAATTCTTATGTAAGATATATATTAAGATGTTTTACTCAATAGGTTTAACCACATAATCGTCACATCCGCAATCATAATAACTAAATAATGTTATTTTTTGATATATAAATGAAAATTAATTCTTCCAAATAATTGTAATAACTAATAATTATTAAATAATTAATTAAAGATAAATATAAAATTAAATCGCATATTGTTATCTTAAAAAAATGATCTCTTAAATTAGTTGTACTTCTAGAAATACCCGTGTAAATTGAGAAAATTTGCATTTTAATAATAGTCATTTTACTTCATCGATTTTGTAGTTCTTGGTAGTTATTCATAAATAAAGAAAACTTTCGTAAATAAATTGTATTGATTTAGAACACTTCTTCTTAATCGCTGATATGTATATACTCAAATAAGAAAATATACATATTTGAAAATTAAATAATTTAACATAAAATCGTGATCTATACATTTTAGTTATTCTAGGATTTATCTTTAATAGGAATTATTATTATTTACTAATAAAAAGGAATAAATATGTGCACCATAGATATAATCGTTTAAAACCCTAAAAACCATGGCTTTATATACGATCGTAAGCTTACGATAATTCTCTCAACCTTCTAGGCAACTAATAAAAAAAAACCATTCTATTAGCTTATAATTATAACTCGATTTCTCATTAGGGTTAAATCACAATGGGTACACATAACGTGAAGATCTCATGTGACATCTTGCTTGATTCATCCTCTATTGCTGATAACAATGGTAACTTAATGGTTTTCGTTTTTATTTTGCTTATTTTTAATATAATAAACTGAAGTTTATGCTCTTACGTGAAAACTTATCTTAATTTTTAAGCCATTAAAAGATTGTCGTTAATCTTTTGTTATACTATAAATTCTTGCAAAGAGACATGTTCGTTTTTGCTTACGATGTTTGGAATAAAAATCTAAATTCAATTTTTTCTTATCTTACAGTTCTTCATAATACTGTTGATCAAACTTCATCACTTGAAACGGCATTCGAGAGATTACGCCTCTATCAATCCTATGATCGTCTCCCTAAACATCCTTCAAGATTGCATAATATTCCACATATTCACGGTATGAGTGTTATATTAAAAAAATAAATAAAAAACTCATTGAATGATAAATAAATTATATATGTCTTAATTTATAGATACGTCGAAAATACCTTGTGGTTTAAGAAAGAGGAGTGGGCCACGCGAATTGGGTTCTAAGCTGTTTGGGTTTGGAATATTGTATTCTGAATCAGCTCATGGAGATCGCACAGATGTTCAGTCGGGTTTGTGGGATGTGCCCTGTCATCTAATCAATGAAATTGGTAAAAAATTCCTATAGTAATATCTTTTTCTGTTAGACGTTACAAATATATTCATAATTTGGTTTGATATAGGACCAGATAATGAATTCGAACATGACATGATTAGCGACTCAGCTAATAGAAGCATTGGTGTTTGTAATGAACATGAGCAAAACGGTAAGTCTCTTGATCAGAACAGTCTTCAAGTTGATAATTTATTAAACATCTATATAGAGGGACGACTAATATATAAAAAATGTATAAATATATATATATATATATATATATATATATACGAAGGTCCTACTGGTGCTGACCCTGACGAATCAAATTACAAAAAAGATGATCCAACTGATGGTGATCGAACTGACGACATTGGTGATGGCGACATTGTAACCGATAACAAAGGTGATGGCAATGATGGTGATGATAGCGGTAGTGACCAACCGGATACTGATAACAATGATGATGATGACGACTGGTATGATGGTTGCGATGACGAAGAAGAAGACGAAGACAGTGATGATAACGATGGCGACGAATATGATGACGAGGAAGATGACGAAGATAGTACTGATAGTGATGATAGTGATGGAATTGACGAAGAAGAAGAGGACGAAGAAAGTGATGATTGTGAGGAAACCGATGAAGAAAATGAAGACGATGACTATGATGAGACGAACGAATTGTCTGATGGTTGTGATGAAGAAGGAGACGAGGACGAGAGTCATGATGATGTTGATGAGAAAAATGAAGAATACATGAGTGATGCTGTTGATGATATTCGGAATGATGCATCGGCAGTGAAAACCGAATGTTCTGCTGATCATCAGCCCAAACGTCCATTGGGAAAAAGACTATATCTCAACTATGATTTCCATGGAACATCACAAAATATTGTGGATGGTATCTTTGTTAAAGCTCCCTCTAAACGCATTTGCGTGCGACGTATGCTCTTTACTTCAGATTCTGAAATTGATAATGGCGATGAATGTTCCAACGACTCCTCTTCAAATACAGCTATGGTGTCTCAAGAGATTCAAGCGTTTCCAATAAAAGTCATACATCTAACCGAGGGTCCGTGTGAGTTTGAGATTAATGTTAAAGTTTTGAGAGTTTGGACTCATAGTTTGCACCCATCTGAAAAGCGTCTCGAGACTGTGCTATGTGATGACCTGGTTTGTTTACTAAATAACCCAGTTTTATATATTTACATTTATAATATTTTTTGTTACATATTAATATTGTGATAATTAGACTTTAACAATTTATATCATATCCTAGGGTGATAAAATACATGCCACTGTACCAACCGCACGCTATGCTTTGTTTGAAGACCATATTGCTGTTGGAAATTGGATTAAGATTCGCCGTTTCCAGGTTGCTCATGTCTATGGTGTTTTTAGGACAACTTCGCGTCGTTTTAAAATAGTTTTGGGTTCACATACTATCGTAGATGGTGATAGTTTTCATTGCGAACGGAATTTTTTCAATTTTATCGACTTCCGTGTAATCCTGAATCGCACATACAGTGACGACTTTTTAGTTGGTAAGTATGTTGATATATGATTTATATTTTGTTTAAGGATAAGAAACAATACTGAGTTTACAATTGTCTTTCGTTTCAGAAATAATTGGCCGTGTTGTAAACGTTGGCAAGTTTCATTTCTGGGAAGGTTATACCTTGGACCAACTAGAGGAAAAGGGCATTGATAGCGAATACCAGCTTATCACTTTCTACTTGGAGGATTTAAGGTTTGTATTCCCTTTTCAATGTTTTCCCGAATTTAACTATGTGAACAATTATAAGAATACAAGCATATATAATTTTGTGCTAATTATTTTAATCATGTAGGCACGTTCGTCTCTTTTGCAAATTGACTGGCAAAAGAGCTTTAAAGTTCTATAAGAACTGGCGTAGTTGTGATAGCCAAAATGCTGTTTGTGTAATCAGATGGGGAATTATTGATTATCTTGGAGGTATGTCAGTTGCATATATAAATTAATGTTTGAATATGCGTGGCATAAATTTAGTATTTCACTTCTTATTTCAGGAAAGGTAATGATCTCGGCTATTCAACAAACATTGGTAGTACTGAACCCTCATGTTGCGGAAGTCGAAGAATTCGGACAAAAGTACGGCCTGTACATACCTTGCTATATATAGTATACAATATTATACATAACCTTTTTTATTTATGTTGTTTTATTTTTATTACACAGGATGATTAGCAGTCGAAGCTATCGTCTAGAGAGTGTTCGCCATCGAGATTAGATAGATACAATATTACCCATATTCACTATTCGTATTTCAAATTTATGTTTAAGGATACATTTCATAAGGTTTTTGGTTTTTAAAAGTGTTCTTCGAATTCTTCAACTTCATTATATGTGAAGTTAGTATTTCATAATTATAATTATTGTTTCCGAATCATTTATTATCAATTGTTTGTCGACTATTGCCTATACATGTTCCATATATATATATTAAGCTAAAGTATCTTTCATAAACATGCGTATACAGTATATATATTTATATCCGAGTTGAAATTCTCAATGAAATTCATATATATCGCTATTGTTACATATATTAAAATTGCCAATAATTGTACTCATCATACTCGAGTGTCTTTTCCTTCTTCGTGGTATTTACAAAAAAAAAAAACTTATGAATTCTGGAAATTATGATTATTTTAATGAAATTACAAAAGTATAATATACGGTTATAGTTCGAAATATATTTATTTAAAAAAAATTGAAAAAAGGATTTTATAAAAAAAGGAAATTGTACAAAAGATGCTAATTTCATTATCATTAAAATGTTTATTTTATGTTTATGTTAAAATGACTGAAAACATAATTTCACGCAACTGATTTTTGGATAAAAATAACAAATATACTTATATGAGAAATGGAATAAGTAAAATTTACATTTAAATTATGTTAAGTCTTAACATTGAACTCGATATATAGAAATCAATAAAAGATACGATACTCTATTTATTTGCATCGATCCAAAAGACTAGGGTTTTTATCAATTCCTATATATATATATATATATATATATATTTATGTACGACTGATTAATCTTCCTCATTAAATCGGTTCAAGAATTTTCGGTAAAAAGAAGAAGATGGAGTCGTCAATAGATAATAGTGTTGACACTAAGAAAGTTGTGAAGTCTTATCTCAAGCGGAAAACAATCGTCTCTGCTCTGATAAACGAAATTGATAGAACGAGTGATCGTTACAAGATAAAGGTTCAGATAATCAATCTCTGGAAATCATATCGTAAAAATAAGGTTACATCCATAGAGATGGTATTAGCAGATGAAGTGGTAGGCAATGTTAATGTTTTATATCTATATATATGAACATGCATCGTATAGTAAAATTATGATATGAATAACTTAAATATTAATTAAGTTTTTGACTATATCAGGGTTCTAGGATTCATGCAACTGTTGATGGAGATTTGGTGGAGCAATTTAATTCAGAATTGA